CTCCCACTCCTTCTCCCTCTCCCTCTCCCTCTCCCTCTCCCTCTCCCTCCCTATCTCTCTCACTTCAAAGACTCATGCTGTGCTGGAGCGTTCGACGAAAGTTCTCGCAAGCTATCTCGAGAGTATTGCTTCATGCGGAGCTACGAAAGCATCTGAAAGAACAAGGGAGCATCTACGGGAGGTTTTTTCAAATCTCGATAGCTGCATTAAAAACTTCCTCATTTCTGCTCAGGTGGTTCAACCTAGTAGACTGGAAATGCATAGAAATGCTGAAATCTGCTAAATTCCAGGTCTAGTAATCAGTAGTCATACCATGTACGATGCCCCGAAATGTGCTCCATGTCCTAGTCACGTATATGAATTGTAGCCGTCGAATCGGTCGAAATTTTTGCGGAGGTATTGACCAGTCAGAATGACGATCCCGTTTTAGATTTGGTTGAGTGAATAACACCGTTTACGGAAATACATTCTTCATTATCCGGTTTGTTCTTGTTATGAAGCGGTTTTTCTACACCGATGATTCTATGATGGACCCGTAATGACCTTTTCTATAGCCTATATCAGTCTTTATCAAGTGGTAGTAGTTTTTCTCGCCAACTTTATACAAAACTGTGCCCACCATACATCACCTACCAAAGTGCTTGTTTCCACTGTTGGCATGGAGTGTGTGCGATCGCTTTTTGGAAACACACAACACGCTCACACAACAGTCACATTCAGCGAGCTATTGATAGGAGTATTGAATTCACTAGTCCAAAATAAGAGTGGGGTCAGCTTAAGGAGGAAAAATCATCTTGACGTCCTCGCAGCTGTCCTATCCTCACTCCCTTATATAATTATCGAAGTACAGTGTCCGCCGTTTTGAGTCCCAAATTTATAAACACACAATCTTCGAAAGCATTCAATTGAGGGCAGTGGCTCATCGAAGAAGTCAGTGCTGAATCTTGCTTCAAAATTTCTCCTATCCTGCCCACCGCCGTATGGTACAATTTGCCCGGAGGGTATTTGACTTCTGCGTGTTGGTCTAATTCATGTTGTTTTATGGCAACAAGCTCGATTTCCACAACTCAATGAATCCGCAGGATGCATCAACATTCTACAGTTCATTCATGGAAAAGTTGCGGACGTCATATCTACCCGAAAACGTTAAGGTGGTGACTTTCCCGTAGACTTAAAATTTTTGACTAGACGTTTGATTAGTTTCTTGTGGGGTGCTTTCAGGATGGACGATTTGCGGCAATGATGAACGTTGAGATTGTTAATGATGGCCCTGTTACTATTAGTATAGATAGCAGGAAAAGGGATTGATGGGAGCTTACTCTTTTGTTTTTTTTGAATGTTGTTAATTTGTATTTGTTCTAATAAAAAACATTCTTGCTACTTCTTGTTCAACGTGTACACTTAAGGTTTATGAAAGGTGACTAAATATGTATAAGCATTGCTGGGTTACTGCACTCTGTTCTTCCTATGTGATCACTGAACTTGGCTGTCGTCGTGTTGGTTTGAAGGGGAATTCCCCTCACGGCAGCTGTCGGCTGCCTGTCCAAGTGGCTCCGCTCCAATTCCTGTGCCTTCCTCCTGTGTAAGATGACCAAATGTTTTAGTGCATATGAGGGACATGTACGCCACTTGGAATGAACAATAGTAACCTAATGTAGTGTGATTATGATTTAAGATTGCTGGAAACTTACCACTGATTAGATGAATAACCTAGCGCGTGTTTTGACTTGATGTTTTGTAAACTGCTGTTTTACCGCCGCAGTACGCGAAGCGAAAGTCTCACGAAAATGGCGATTTGTGGGCAAAACTCCAGTCTCGGACGGGACTCGAACCCGTACTTGTCCTTTCCGGGGACCGTGCTCTTGTCCCTTACACTACCGAGACCCCGCTTGCCCTCGCCTTAATGGCTTATATGCCATAGCTTATCAGCACTCACATGTACAACGTGTTGAGCCGGTAGGCCAATATCAGCACAGAACCGTTAAGCTGTAAGCATTACATGTTAGTACTTGTTTTGACTTGATGTTTTGTTAACTGCTGTTTTACCGCCGCAGTACGCGAAGCAAGTTTGCGGCAACGGGAAGGCATTCCGGTGGGAAGGCGTACTTCGCGTACTGCGGCGGTAAAACAGCAGCTAACAAAACATCAAGTCAAAACAAGTGCTAACATGTAATGCTTACAGCTTAACGGTTCTGTGCTGATATTGGCTTACCGGCTCAACACGTTGTACATGTGAGTGCTGATAAGCTATGGCATATAAGCCATTAAGAAGGCGAGGGCAAGCGGGGTCT